AAATATATGAAGTTGGACAAAGAGAGACCAGAGCGACGGAGGAGACAAAGGCGTAGACGGCACAAATAGCATAGAAGATGTCGTCCTGCCATTGGGAGGACTTGTTGATCTCGTCCCACTAGTTGAAGAACATCGAGATGACTTCCATGGGTGTAGAGCTCAATAATAGCAGTGGCATTCTCGTCATTTAGCAGCGGAGCTCCTATGAGAGCGCAAGAAGCTCAGCAAGCAAGCCAATGTCAAAACACTTGAGAAGCATAGAGCAGAAGAAACTCAACTTGTCATCGCATTGGAGATTCAACAAAATCGCAAAATCGAGAAGATGGGTGGTGTGTACAGATGATGTTGGTGGTGAGAGATAATCGAGTTCGAGGTCTGATGATCATAGTGGCGGCGTATGGAGCTCGGATGGTGGGAGCGAGTTAGGATGAGAGATCGAGGTCTGAGACTCTGAGTGAAATGAGAGGAGTCGAGAGGAGACCAAGAGATCGAGAAGACTAGGATGAGGAAAAAATGGGCCGGGCCAGGGGCCCGTTCCCTCCTATTTTAAGATCAACCCCACCCCTGCTAATTTCGTCTACCCAAACTGCCTCGCCCTGTTTTGTGTTTAGAAATTTTAGACCCACCTTGAACCTGAATTACCCGCCCTACTTGCAATTCCTATACCCATTTGCCCACCCCTAATCACAACAGACTAGGTGAGACCACTAATATAGATCTCACTCTTTTTTATAACTAAAACAAACAAACAAACTACAAGGTGAATTCTTTTGGGATCTCTACCTGCCTTACATCATATAACACTTTACAAGCCACATTATGTAGAAAATTACAAAACCAAATACATGAATTTTGAATGCAGCTAATAACCTTATTTGCATGTTTTTCTACTACCATGTTAGCTTCACGAAACTCATGTTCTACTTGTTGAACAAAAAATTTCCTAGCAATCTTCAAATATCAGATATCGTTGAAAGCAATCTCCAAGTAGGTGGATCATTTGATTTTAACAAATGGATTAAAACTTGTGAATCTCCTTTAGTACAATGGGAAGAAATTTCTAACTTTGTTGCTTAAAACTTTAGACGATGTCTTATCTTCTTATATATAAAGCCAGAGCCCCACTTTGGGGTCACGGCTTCGACAAAAAATAATATTGCCAAAATGCCCCTCAGCCAAAAAAATCAAAAGCAGCAAAAATGAATGCATAAAATAATACAAGGGTAATTTTATAATTTTAACAGTACTTTTTTTAATAATTATTTTTTTGGTGCAGTTTTTTTTTTAATTATTAATTAGTTCTTCACAATAGGTTAGCAATAATATGATTCAATTTCTCTATTTTTAAATGCGTTCGAAACATTTTAAGAGGCGTGTAATGTCGGTTATAAAAAAATATTTTTCACACGCGGATAATAATGTGATTAAATTAATTGTCAAATGATTTTTTTAAAACAAAATATATTATCTACACTAAGGGAAAATGGATGGGTTTAGCCTCACAATAAGCAATAATATGATTCAATCAATTGTTTATTAAATATTATTTTCTCTATTCTTAATATAAATTCTATAAAGACCGATTTTATTATGTGAATTCAGCTGTTTTAATTGGTTTATGAGGGGTTTCTTCTAGTATGATCTAAATTTATTCATTTACTTCAAATATTTGATTTTCTCTTTATCAATTTACACATATAAATACATTTAAAATGTGTAAGTCGCGCATAGCACGTCGTGATTCAAAAAATACTTTATGTACAAAGGCTAATATTGTTGCAAGAGAGAGTCGTTGTGAAAGTACTTTTTCATGCGAAAGTCTATCCAAAATATCACCTCATCTGAGTAGAAGTCAGTATGCATGTAGTGATCATCATAAACCCTAATAATTAGGGGTGGTTCGGTATGGGATCCCATACCGAAACTCTTGTCCCGATTCCCATACCGAAATTTTCGGGAATCCCAATTTCAATAACGATCCCAAACCAAATTTTCGGGAATCCCAATTTTCGGGAATCCCGAAATAATTTCGAGATTTCGGGACAAATCGGGAATCCCGAAATAATTTTGGGCTTTTGGGCTTTTGGGCTTTTGGACAAAAAAAGCTAATATTGGTCCAATTGGACAAAAACCTAATATTGGGCCGTGCCCACTGAATGTAACAGCCCCATATGGGCTTAACTTGATTCAATCAAATAAGAAGACATGACCTTCATATCGAAAGCCAAAACTAAATAGCACGAATTTTGTCAAGAAGACATGACCTTCAGTTTCTGCGACTCAAGTTCCACTCCTTTTGCTTATCTAGTTACAGTCAAAACTAAATAGCACGAATTTTGTCAAGATATAACCTTCATATCGAAAGCCAAAAGTTCCATAAATTCACCCTCACCCAAATTTCACCAAATGAAAGAAGACATTCGAGAAAATATATAACATGTTTTAAAACAAAGTTCACACTATACAAATCAAATTAAATGCGAAAACATGCCCCGAACTACAAGTAGATTATACACATCAAATTCATAAAGAGAAAAGGCATCGCATTATTATAAGAACAAGAATTCCCAGTGCCTAATAACAAAAAATGCTAAATTGAAACCAGAAATAAGAAAACCAACCACTTACCGGGGGTTGAGCAGTCCGCTGGGCCGCCTCGATGTTCCCAGTAAGCTGCGAAAGCTGCGAAAGCGCTGCCACGGCCGCTGGATTCAACCCACCATAGCCCGAGCTCGAATCCACCTGCTGCTTCTGATCCTCCGCAACCCCATGTGGGTAATACGCATTCTGCAAATGGGTCGGGTCAGGATCCGCCGTTTGTGGCTGTTGGGGCGGAAATGGGACCCCGGGAGGATGAATCGAAATGGGTTCTTGATGGTATTGGTGGTGGTGGGCGGTGGCGTAATCCTGGGTGGTGGTGGTGGGATTGTAGTATTGTTGGTATTGTTGTTGGTGGTCGGATTGTTGGGGGTGATTGTAGGGATAATAGGCCTGGTAGGAATAGGATTGGTCGTAGGATTGGATTCTTGAGGGATCGAATGAAGAGGAACTGAAATGTGATCTGACCTAAAAACTAATCAACGACATAGATTAAATCCAAAACAATCAACGGTTGAAATAATTCTCTTATAATTAAAAAATTATATATATATATATATATTTTTTTTTTTTCGGTTCAGTATGGGAATACCGAAAAAATGAAATGCAATACCGAATCCCATACCGAAACTTTCGGTTTGGTTTGGGATTACGTCCCGAAAATTTCGGGAATTTTGGTTTGGGATTTTTTTGGTTTGGGATCGGAATTTTTTTTGTTTGGTTTGGGATTTTTGGGATTTTTTTCCAGCCCTACTAATAATGCACATCTTCATCAATCATTGGCCGTTGAACCACCCAACGCCTCTTGGTCAACAAAACATTGATGTTGGCCTCATTGCTATGGATCTGGATTGTCTGCCCTTTTCATTCCATACTCTTTCTATTTTCTTCTATTTTTATGGTCACGGTTAAGCTACGTCAACATTTTATATTGATTTTTTATAGAAATAATAAGTCAAAAAACAATAAAAATATAAAATATTGACGTGATTTAACCGTAACCACAAAAATAAGAAAGTATGAAAAGGGCATAGGATGGGGGAGGACAGACAATCCAAGATTCCCATTGCTATATAGCAAGCTCTAAATTCACACATGAAAGTCATATGGTCAGCAGTCAACACGTTCATGGAACCAAGATAACCAAACAAACTACCAAAATTAAGAATCTCAAGCCTCACTCGTCCGCCAAAAGTTTAGAGCCAAGTGTAGCCACATCCAATACAATCCAATTATTCCAACTTGAAATAATTTTTTTATTGTGACGGAAATATAAATGGTACACCACATGTTTTAATAAAAGTGATATAAAATTTTATTTTTTGAGTTATTAATTTTTTAGCATACATATTCGATCATTTGTATAGTAATACGTGATGTATTATCCCGTGTACCGATCACACTGAAAAATCTCTTCTCATTTCAACCGAAAGTAACTGTCACTACCAAAAAGCTACCAACGTATTTCACAAAACCAAGAATTTGAGAGAGACAAACAAGTTCAGGTAGAAGTAGGATCATAAAATTAATTGATATTATAGAGATTTTTTTTTTCTTTTTGTTTTGAAGTGGTATTGATACTCTCAACAGGCTCTCTCACGTGTGACGAGTTTTCAAACTTAGCACGTAGACAACATAAATCAAGTGATGTGGAGCAGCACATATGATCGTTGGATTTCATACATGAGACAACATGTTCTAATACCATAAAAAAGTTGAGGTTTCATCATAAAACTATTTGTGAGAAATAATCTAACTATTTATAAATACATACAACGTCTACTTTTTCTTTGATATGAAATTTGTACTCTGAATAGACAGATGTAAGTTACTTACTACCCCAAAACCTACAAACATTGTTTATTTATGGGGGATAAGAAATATGGAACTTTGACGAAAACATTCCGGTACTGTTCACTTTAACGAAAAATCACATTTTTACACTAAAAAGTCAATCCTGATACTATTCACTTTACCCTTTATTTTTTCCTTATCATTAAAATTTAAAGTTTTCAAATCATTTTCATTAGTTTTCCTTAAGAAATAAGTATTTGAATATGATAGATAGGGCCAGCCTTGAGGGAAAGGGATCCTCTCATAATCCCTTTCCACCTAATTCATCTAGTTCGGGATTCGGATTGTTAAAATTTAATTCAAAGGTCACAAATAGAGAACCCTTTAAAGTGATAATAACTTTTTCTGTTGATTTAAATTTTAACGGTTCAAATCCCAAACTAATAGATTAGGTGGAAAGGGATCCTTCACCCCTCCGACCACTCTTGTCTCGTTTCCCACTGGCCCATGTCCCTTAGAACATGGAGGAAATTATGGCAGTTTTCCCTACCCTGGCCTAGTGGCCTTATAAGAGCTCTCTCTCTCTCTCTCTCTCTCTCTCCCCCTCGCTGTCTCTTTCATCTCCTAAATTCCTAATAACCAATAGACAGAGAAAATCCCAACCATAAAAGCTCTCATACATCAAACACTTCTCAGTTTTCTGAAGCAACCAAGTGAGCAACACAATCACCGCGTCTCAAGAGAGAAAACAAATGCAAAGAAACTCCACTTTCTACCCCATCATTGCAATCCAATCCAACAAATAAAAATATCTCACTTTTCTCTTCAATCCCTTCACAATTCATCAGAGCAGAAAACAAAAGAGGAAGAAAAAAAAAACAAATGGAGATTGAGATGGTTAGGTGTGAGTGCTGTGGACTAAAAGAAGATTGCACACAAGACTACATCACACAAGTGAAGGCAAAATTTGATGGGAAATGGCTGTGTGGGTTGTGCTCAGAAGCAGTAAGGGATGAGGTTGGCAAAGGCAGCAATCAGCCATTTGGCATGGAGGAAGCTGTGAGGGCACACATGTCATTTTGTGGTAAATTCAAATCCAACCCTGCAGTTAGAGTGGCAGATGGGATGAGGCAGATGCTTAGGAGAAGGTCAAACATGTCATCTTCTTCTTCATCACCAAAAAAGTACACAAGATCAGCAAGCACATCCCAAGTGGGCCATTCATCTTCTTTCTCATTGTACTAATTGCAACCAGACTTCTTGGGTTGGAATAATTGATATATATAATATGAAGGTAGTGGAATTTCATGGCTCTTAGTTATGTCTCTCACTCAATCTAATTAATTTTGTACAGTACAGGGAAGGTTTATTCATGGACGTTTATTCCCAGTTTTGCTTTATTACGTTCCATTTGATATGGGATGGGATATATTTTACTTTTCTTTCCTTGGTTAGAAAGACAAAATTGACAGGGGATATCTTAACTTTAACTTTAAATTTTTTAAAATTCATGAGGTACGTAGTTAAAACTATCTTTCTTCTTTTCCTGTAATAAAATATTTTCTACAAAGTTGTAGTTGTGGGTTAGATTCCTTAGCAGTGTGTGCGTCTCCTTACATTTAAGTTTGAGCAAGTTTGAACGTCTCCTTACATTTGAGTTCAAATTATGATATTGGTTACTAAAGTAATGTACTCATCTGATACTTTTTGTATTTGTTGTTCCTAATAATGAAACTTAAAAAAAAAAAAAACACTTGTATGGAAAGCTTTACAATATTTAAATCCATTACGTTCTTTGCCCCCATTTTAATTGCTTTTCTTAAAGCATAAGTCTAGTGATATTCTTTTGATGAGTTAAAAGTTTTCTTCTATAAATTCACCAGTGAATTTTCATTCATTATGTACAAGAAAGCTTGTTTACCTTGCCATGTCAAACTGCTAATATAAATGCTTCCAGTGTATACCATCCCAAAAGAAAAAAACATTAAGTAATTGGAAATAATATTGCAGAATGATTGGGATCGATATTTGTTAAACCAAATGGCAAATACTAAAGAACAGCATATCTGGTGTTCCCATTGTAATATTGTATAACTTAATTGCAATAAGGGAAATTTTATTTGAACCCATCGAACCTCTTTCTACACCTAATTTAAATTCTAAATGTGAATTATCTATTTTATCCTATTGCATAATTATTATCAAGTACAAGATGAAATTAAGAATAAAACTAAAATTTATCAATAAACCCATACTCAATAATCAAGTTCTACCATCGCACAATATTTATTCTACGTTCATTCTGACTAAATTCTTAAGAGCTGCCATAAAACCCTACGATCACCTAATAATATCGTTTCCTTTCTAACTTCATGATAACTCGCTCAGGAAGAGCAATAATTACAAGCAATATCACCACAAGAAACAAAAGAGTTAGAAAGCTTTCAACACATAGAAATGTTTTCTATGTCATTACGAGTGCATGTTTAAAGTGTGAGTTCTCTTCTCATTATTTGTTTAGTTATGCTTCCAATTCAACTATGTATGCCTATAAAAGCAACATATATCACTCAAATGAAAATTACTGCCATGATCCTTCAAGAAAACGTGATGAGAAGTTCTACTGAAATTTACTTTCACTAAGGTGTCCACATAATTTTACATGATTCAAATTTCAAAAGTACTAGTTCAACTGCTTACCTAGCAGCTACTGAACTGTTTAATCTTGAATTACAAATTCATCACTCAGTTCCACAAATCACATTTAGGCTAGCTATTTGGACTACTCTATTAAGAGCTTGGCGAAGATCATTTCCTAACAACCTTGCACTCCAAACCGACGTCGCAAAAGTTTAAAAAACAATTTGATGCTGCTGATCAATTCACCTATAACAAATGGTTGCCATGACAAAATCTTAATTCTTCATTCACTCATTTGGGATTTTCTTTTCTAAATGGGTGTAAAGATGAATTTTTATATATTGAATTGAGTTTGTGAGGGTAGTTTAGATAGTAAATTTGGGTTTAAAGAGAGACTGATTCTTTAATTAAAAATAATATAAGCGTAAAGAGTACGTTGGGTGTAGAAAAATGTTGTATGGGTTCAAATAAAATTTCTCTTCCAATAATTATGGGTCAACTTCCCACTCCACTAGAAAGGAACCAATGAACAATACTCAACATGTATTACCTAACGCATGACTTTTCCCTCTATAATATTCAGTGGTTGAGGAAGAGAATTTCAACAATCTTTTATCATCGAGAGTACCTTAATGTTGCTAAAGCTACACTTGGCGCGTATGAATTCCATTAGGAGTCATTCCTTGATTGCAAATACAACAAGCCATCTCAAAACATGCTAGGATCAATTTTCACGAGCATCAATCCAATTAACAGAAATTGATCAACCATTTAAATAGAACATATATAATCCGTCTTCTATAACCTCGCATGAGGAAGAATTGTATGGGACATTACGCTCATTACGACCATGAATACTATATGAACGATGATGCCATGCACATATGCAACATATATGATGAAACGGTATATATTTCTGTAAAATGTACATGTTAATAAAGAATCTTAGGTCATATGATCTTATTAATCTAGTCTGTTGAGACATACTAAGGTTCATTGTGGCACTATTATATATGTTGCCGTTCTTATTCAAGTACCAAATGTTTAGTCACTCAGTATTACGGTCTGATGATATTCCTATTCACTTGTAAGTGAGAGGTCTTAGGTTCGAATCTCGTGGATGACGAATTCGATACCAAATTAAATTGTCCATCGTGTGGCTTAGCCGAACTCCCTCTCTCCTTAGTATAAAAATATATCGTTGTACTAAAAAAAAAAGTACCAAATGTATAGAGTGTTTATACTCCAAATGCACTACTTTTTTTCTCCTTTCCTCTCACTTCCGATCTTTTTTAGCTAGGACTTTATCTCTATCTATCTTTCTCTCTCCTTTCCTGATATGATCCTCACTCTCATTTCTTTCTCCTCTCTTCTGAATCCTTCACTCTTATTTCTCTCCCACTCACTGCTCTCTCCCCTCCTTTTGTCTCACCTCCCTCTCCTCTGACCCTCTTCAGATCTCTCTGTTTGTCCAATTAAATTTAGTAATAATTCCTCAATGACGAGTTGTTGTAGGGTTTTTTTTTTCTTTTCTTTTTAATTATTAAAATTTTAAAAATATTTTGAATCTCACAACAAACAAGTTTTTAGATCTTAAAAAAATTGTTATTAAAAGATATTCTTAAAAAATATTTTGAAAAATTATGAATTTTTTTAATACAATACCAAACAAGCCTTTAATTTTTTAAACAATTTGTGCAAATAGCACCAACTTTTTGGAGGTTGAACGAAAACCTAGCTAGCAAAGATGCACCTTTGTTGTTTTCCTCAATTTATTAAATGCGTTTATAAATAGAATATAGGGATGCCTGTCTGCCCATAGTATATGTAAAACACATAACGACGTGCATATGTTACACGCATGTGTAGATAGTACCAATTAACCATTGGTTTAGTGACGCTTCTCTTTGTAATATTGCAATTTGACATTGGGCTTGTTTTTATAGGCATTTATTTTTTCAACTCGCAATCACTAATTGACACACTCCGACCTGAAATATTCATCTGGACTTCAAATCAAGCTATGCTAACCGACACCAGAAGGGTGACAAAGCCATAAAGTGTAGTGATGTGGAAAATATGAATAAATTTAACTCTAAAAGTGTCTGAATATAAGAGTACGCTTGTGAGCAGGAATGAACCCAATTTACACGTGACGTTAGAGCATAAGTAAAGTACAGTAAAGTAGGATGAGAATTATACCATTGAAGGTAACCACTATACCAAGATGTTATACCAAGATTTGTCAAGAATCCTCGTCGACACGAAAGCTCAGCCACTAAAACCTGAGGGGCGAAAAACAAAGGTGAGTAGGCCTAAAAATAAAGTTTTATAAAAACCTTTTTGAAAACATAATAACCCCTCGCGGTAAAACAAGTATAGTTTCCAAAATAGATATACTACGTATAGTATGAAAATACTTACCGTAGTCTGCAATACCTCAAAAATATAAAACTTCACAAAATTCGTAAATAAGCAAATAACTTCCAGTAATCACAATATCTCACAGAAATAAACATATCACATCGAATGCTCATGGACACATGCTAACACACGAGTTCATGCAAATGTATTCTGACATGAACATGACTGAGTGTATTAATGATTTACGCTCTAGTACTACAATCACGTGAAGATTGGCGTTATGCACATCACATACGAGTCCTGATTGCCTATAGCAATCTAGGACAGGACTGGCACCTACAATGGATCCAAAGTCAGCGTACGGTGCGATGTGAACATTCACGTGAAAGGTTGGTTCTGGCCCGGGTGAGTACTAACACTGGTGCAACAAACGATGAGCAGATAATGTAAATATGATCATGCAATGGTAAATCAATAACTCGATAATTCATTAACCCTAGTCAATGAAATACTATTCATAACCGTAAATACCATTAAAGCATCCATACTAATACGCATACATGTGCATCCTGTAGGACGTGGCATAGATTCATAATTTCTATCAATGCGTTAAATCTTATAAACGTCACGCTAATCTAGGCGTATTGTAGAAAAATCTTTATGAAATGTATAAATGGAAACTAACAATTATATATATACTATATTAAAGAAAAAACTCACTCACAGGTGCTTGTGATGTTACATCCGTTCGAGCTAGGAAGGTCAGAGTCTTCGATAGTAATCACACCTAAGCATAATATTGGGACACATTAGTAAAACTCGAGGGAAGAGTGGGGTGTGGGCCCATGGCCAGAAAATATTGTTTAAATAATTAAAATATCCCACAGAAAAATAATAACATAATAATATATTAATATAATAATTAAAAGAAATATATAAAATATAAAATAGTAATACTTTTTTTTACTATTTCAGATTCGTAGTTCCATAAAATCTTTATTGTAACTCCAATTTTGATTCCGCTCACGCTTGCATGTTCGTACCATCAAGTACTTCGAGAATACAATAAAATGGTAACTCGTATGCGTCACGAAAAGACGGTCAACGAACACTACTACAAAAGGGCCTTATTGTGTTGGTGGTTGGTGTTGCTTTTATAAAACATAGTGGTGCTTAAGACATTCCGACACCTACTTTACATGGTGTCGGAATTACTATCGCTTATAACCGACATAAACTTTAATGTCGCTTATAACCGACATAGATTTTAATATTTTTTTAATAGTGGTGTTGCATTAAAAAAAACTATGTCGCTTTTAACCGACATAATGTCAGCGTCGGTTAAAAGAAGACTAGTGTTGCTTTTTTCAGACACTAATGATAGTTTTTACATATTTTCAAAGCCAGTGTCTGTTGTAGGCGACATAAGTTTTAATTTTTATTAAATATTTTGAAATTCGGTGTCGCTTGTAATCGACATAAATTTAGCGTCGGTTAAAAGAAGACTAGTGTCGCTTGATTATATATTTTTATATATATATATATATATTAAATTAAATTTTAAAAATTGGTGACCATTGGATCAACTTAAATATACATACCATTCAATTTCTTAAGTGTTACACGTCCAAAATAAATAAATTTAAATCTACTTAATAAATAAATAAATAAATATATATATATATATATACACACACTATTAAACTTGATGGGATACGAATTCTTTGAAACTAATTTCAACAATCCAACCATCAAACTTGTTTGTATATGCTTCGAGATTGCATCAGCAAAAAAAAAAAAAAAACATTCAGAAATCAAGTAATGGTTCAAAACTTTTCTACGGTTATAAAACGAAAAATCATGATTTAACGGTTATTTTAACTCCGATTTTGATGATTTTTTACAGATACACTCATTGACCTTATATGAATACAATGAATGAATTTGATCTTCAATTGAACATATTTACACTAGTGGATACCACAAAATCTTATGTTATACTTAATGAAAGTATGAATAAACTTTTAAGTGTTAGTGAATATATTATTTTGATGGGATATGTATTCTACGAAACTAGTTTCAAAGATCCAACCGTCAAACATGTTTGTATATACTTCGAGATCGCATACGCTAAAAATTGCAAAAAACAAACATTTAGAGATCAAGTAACGGGACAAATTTTTTTGGACGGTTATAAACGAAAAATCACTATTTAACGGTTATTCTAACTTCGATTTTGATGATTTTTTGCAGCTACATTCCTTGACCCTATATGAATACAATGAATGAGTTCAATCTTCAATTTAAAATATTTACACTAGTGGATACCACAAAATCTTATGTTATACTTAATGAAAGTATAAATAAACTCTAAGTGTTAGTGAATCTATCGTTTTGATGGGATACGTATTCTACGAAACTAATTTCAACGATCCAACCATCAAAATTGTTTGTATATGCTTCGAGATCGCATACACCAAAAATCGAAAAAAATAAACATTCAGAGATCAAGTAATGTGACAAAACTTTTCGACGGTTATCAATGAAAAATCACGATTTAACGGTTATTTTAACTCCAATTTTGATGATTTTTTTACAGATACACTCCTTGACCCTATATGAATACAATGAACGAACACGATCTTCAATTTAAAATATTTACACTAGTGGATATCACAAAATCTTATGTTATGCTTAATGAAAGTATGAATAAACTCTTAAGTGTTAGTGAATCTATTGTTTTGATGAGATACACATTCTACAAAACTAGTTTCAACAATCCAATCGTCAAATATGTTTGTATATACTTCAAAATCACATATGCCAAAAATTGCAAAAAAAAAAAACATTCAAAGATCAAGTAACGGGACAAAACTTTTTTACGGTTATAAACAAAAAATCACAATTTCACAGTTATTTTAACTTCGATTTTGATGACTTTTTGCAGCTACACTCCTTGATCCTATATGAATACAATGAATGAGTTCGATCTTCAATTTAAAATATTTACACTATTGAATACCACAAAATCTTATGTTATACTTAATCAAAGTATAAATAAACTCTAAGTGTTAGTGAATCTATCGTTTTGATGGGATACACATTCTACGAAACTAATTTCAACGATTCAACCGCCAAACTTGTTTGTATATGCTTCGAGATCGCATGCACCAAAAATCAGAAAAAAAAAACATTCAAACATCAAGTAACGGGACAAAACTTTTCAACAGTTATCAACGAAAAATCACTATTTAACGGTTATTTTAACTCCGATTTTGATGATTTTTTACAAGTACACTCCTTGACCCCATATGAATGCAATGAATGAACTCAATCTTCAATTTAAAATATTTACACTAGTGGATACCCCAAAATCTTATGTTATATTTGATGAAAGTAAGAATAAACTCTTAACTGTTATTGAATCTATCGTTTTGATGAGATACGCATTCTACGAAACTAGTTTCAACAATCCAACCGTCAAACATGTTTGTATATACTTCGAGATCGCATACGCAAAAAATTGCAAAAACAAACATTCAGAGATAAAGTAACGGGACAAAACTTTTCAACGGTTATAAACGAAAAATCACAATTTAACGGTTATTTTAACTTCGATTTTGATGATTTTTTACAGCTACACTCCTTGATCTTATTTGAATACAATGAACTAATTTGATCGTCAATTTAAAATATTTACACAAGTGGATACCACAAAATCTTATGTCATAATGATCGATGAAAATTGAGGATTTTGTAAAAGGAATAACTTGCAATCTTTGAGTTCCATTGGCAAGTTTTAAACTTTTGAGAAAGGCTTCACAACCTTGAAAACAAAAACTCTTTCATTTTGCATATCCTTGCACATTTAATATTTTGTAATAGACTAGTAACGCATGGATGTTTGTTTATTAGGCTCTTGTTTTCGAGTGTAGATGTAGTACTTAAACGACAAATGTGTTTTAATGTTTTGAAGTAATATTTATGTGGCAATGTGTGGTATGTGCAAATTTAAGAAAAAAAATATATTTTTCTTAACGGGGGGTAAAGTGACCCGACTTGTTAAGGACCCGTTAAGATAACATGTGTTACATAAAAACGACCTGACTTGTTGAAGCACTATGTTCGTAATAAGGGTCGTCCTGAAGGTTCTTTTGTTGAAGCATATTTGGTGGATGAGTGCTTGTCCTTCTGTTTTATGTGTTTTAAGTATTAATTAGACTATATTTTTTTTATTACGTATTTTATTTAAGTTCAATTTTATTTAATAAAATCTTAAAATGTTATATGAGTTAACAAAAAAAAAAAAAAAACTCATTATTTTTTTTTTGTATGGGGACATTTAAAAAAAAATTCTATTTTCCTGTCGCCTTTATGCGACGACATTGGTTAGATAATTTGAAATACTCTAGGCGGGAAGTTTCCCGCTTGGTTTTGCACGAGTTAGTGTCGGTTTTAAGCGACGCCAAGTACATTTAATTCTACACGATTTATATTAAATTCGATGTCAGACATGTAATGTCCATTGGAACCGACGCTATTGTCTCTTAATTCGACGTCAGCTTTATTTATTTCAATGTCATGTGGGTAGTGTCGGTTAAAAACGACGTGAAGTTGACTTAGGAAGGGGAATTTCAATCAGTCACCTCGGAAGTTGTCTGATATCGTGTCGTTTTAAACTGATGCCAAATGCATTTAAACCGCCGCAACGTGCACTTCATTAAAGCTTGTCAGACTATGGTGTCAGTTTGAATCAACACCAAGGTTAACTAAAGCGACGCCAAGTGAATTTGAAAAAACTATGTCAGAAAGTGGTTGTTTGATTTAATGTATCGGTAAAGTGTGTCAATCGACACCGAGTTTAACTAAACCGACGCCACGTTTGGTCCAATAAATGTTGTCAGAAAGTGGGTGGATTTAATTCGACATAATGCATGTCAAAAGTTGGTGGCGGTTTCAACCGACACTAAGGCTCACTTATTGCGACGCCAGTGGGTTTTAATATGACGTTAGGGACTTAATGCCTGTTTCAACCAAAGCCAACTCAGCATCCATATCTAAACCCCTTTTCCCCCCTATTTCATCCGTGCTTTCATTTTTTCCCAAATTTCTCCTTCCCAATTTCGTCTGTACTTCCATTTCATCTCCCTTTTCACTTTTTAATTTTTGTACTTCTTCTTGCAGATTGTTTTGCTATGGATCATTTTGAAGATGAGCATGCTGATGAAATCCAATTCGAAGAGGAAGAAGTCGATGGTGGGCCATTTTTAATTATGGTTATTAGTTTTAGTATTTTGTTTTGTAGTCTAACTAGTATGATGCCCAAATTGAAAATTGTTTTTTGGTCCTTGGTTTTTAATTTTTTTTTTCTATATTTATAAGGAAAAACTCAACGAGGACGGGGACCCTCAATTCCCAACTGGAAGGATCAGCCTTGTTCTTTTGATGCGTTTGGAAAATGCATTAGTGAAAATTCTAGTGCTTTTTCAAAACATGTAGCGGTGGAGGTTAGAGATTATAGAAATATTCCGTTGGTGAGAGATTGGCGTATGATCAAGGAAGATCACAAGGAAGCTTTCTGGAATAGAATAAAGGTATAAATATTTTTTGTTACTTGAAGAGAGTATAATAAGTCAATTTTATAGTAATAATTAATTTGCTTGATTTTTTTGAGAGTATAGGAAACTATTATTTTTCAAGAAGAGGATATGACGAAAATGCCAATGATCCATCACATGGCACTTCATACTGCGGAGCATGCGCATAAAGAGTATATAAATAAATTAAAAAAAAAAACATTATACTGATAAACCGGTCGAGGAGCACGAGAACACACCTCTTAATTAAAAACTAAGGAAGATTTATTAAATTTTTTATTTTTAATATTTCTAGTGTCGCTTATAAGCGACGTCAGCACCTATGTCATTTTTATTGAGATGTTACGTAATGTCGATTACGACCGACGTCAACTTGACTATTTTATTTATTTAACTCGAGTGATGTCGGTTGGAAGCGACAATAACTATGATATTTTAATTGTTTATTTGTTACTTAATGTCGGTTTGGAGCGACGCCTTTGTTCCTTTCTATGTCACTTATAAGCGACGTCAGTTCCTATGTCAGTTTTCAGTGATGCCTTTGTTTCTTTTTATTTTATATTACTTTGCTTCATGGTGGCGGATTAAGGGGCCTACACGACGTCAATACCCTTTTTGTGACGGTAGCATTGGTGTCGGTTCCTCTATTCGACATTGCACAATTTAATGTCGGATTTTTACCAATAATTCGGCAGTAAGTAGTGTTTCTTGTCTTTTTTACTCCGATAGTAATATCCCCTTTTGTAGTAGTGGAAAGTCATCAATCCCGCCTCAAGGGCATTTTCGTCAATTCACTCCTTTAAAATGAATAAAATTGTAAAATTAGGGACGGGTTGTCACAATCTACCCACCTTAAAAAAATTTTGTCCCCGAAATTTCTAATAATTTGCTATACGTAAAATAGTGAAAAGATAAAAGAAAAAAAAAAAATATATATATATATATAAGGAAGAAATCAAGCTAGAGCAGTTGCATAAAAGAGAATGTCATTCTGTCAAATTGCAATGATTCCTCTTTCATGCCTCCAAACTCATACTTTCATTCTCCTTCAGTTCAATACCAAAATATAAAACCTTTAGAAAAGCATAACGTCAAAAATACATATGTAGTGAAGTAAAGTTAAAATAGTTGTACTAAAATCAAAACCGAACATAGAAAGATTTCACCTACGCACTTGTAGCGTAACGTACCCCGAGAATATGCATGTAGTATCTTTGGGTCAAGCCCAAACAACAAATAAATAAATAAATAAAAATGCTAATGTAAACGGGCCTACTTGTTCACTTGTTTAATGATTCCAACGAATAAGTTATTGATATTTAAGTATGCAGCTTGCGATATCGACAGCTCAGTGTTGTCTTGATAAGCAAGCAACAAATTCCCGAGGATGCAATATGACCATCTTACCCCTCATTGGGAAATACATATAAATGTCTGATTAGCGCCTCGACCACGCTCACGTACTACCCTCTCGGGTGACAATGCAAATAGGACATTATTTTCTAAATTGTAATCTTGATTATTCAAAACCTATTCGTAATACTCCTTTGTAAATTACGTGTTGTGCATAAAATCTTCATACTATGTCTCAACCGTGTCATACCCAAAACCAAAATTGTAGCCGTAGTTACATGCAACTAAAATAAAAGTAACTGCATTTTACGACCATGCTAATTGTAGAACGGACAAAATACAACACGTCCACTAAGTACTGGTTTGGTACTGAGGTGCTTTTATAAAAAGTGGGTATAAAAAAAAGCTGAGCTCAAAAAGGTGTTTGGTAAACACTTAAAAACAACTTATTTTCACAGTTTTGGGTAAAAAAAAATCTGAAAATATAAAGCAGCAAAAATGAGCTTATTCTCACAACACAGCAGAAGTAGTTTTTTTTTTCAAAGCACAGTAATACCAAACTAGCCTTAAGGTCTGAGTAGTTCGCTCAGACTAACCGTTAGTCTGAGGGTGAAATGTGGTACTAGCGTAAACTTAGTACACATGGCCTTCAAGAAGACTGCCAAAGTCCTGGAAGTAAAACGCACCTCACAGTGAGATACAATAACAGCACGCACACCATGTAGCCAAACAATGTAGTTCACAATACCTTGGCGAGCAGATTCATAGTGAATTTCTCTCGGATTTAGCAAGAACTATGTCGAGAAGGCTAAAGCAACACTCAAGAATTTAAGGGTCAAAACAAGTCCATCAAATCTAGGATACAAGGTAACTGGTTTGAATACATGACATCTTGCTACAACAGTAGCTTCTAGATGTTCGAACACCGACGATAAAGATTCATTCAGCAGAGTATTCGTTAGGTGATTGAGCAATTAATGGTCACAACTAAAATTTAGACGTTCGAGCGATTCTCCTAAATAGTATGTCTGCTTCAGAAATAATACAAAGTCTAGTAGGGTAGACACATACCTAAGGTTGGCTGGAATGCCTTCCGGCACAAAGGGGTGAATATAGAATCACAGTCAGAATAGGTGCGGATCGAAACGTCAGAAAATTTAATAAATTCAAAAATGAAGAATTTTACCAAGTGGTATAAAATGTGGTCACTCTGGACCAACGAAAAGTGAGCTGACTTGTCAAGTCGGTCAATAAACACCGAAACATCATCATAATCTCCACATGTACAAGATAGCTCATACAATGAGCTTATGATGATATTTCCCTATCTCTATTTGGATACAGGAAGTGATTATACACTCGAACGATTACTTGATGATTGTTAGTAATGTCATATCAATACTCGTGAATTCCAATTGAAATGGAATAGAACATGTTGAAAAATGTTTGAGGGCAAATATGTCTTTTGGTACGGTAAATAGTAATTACATTTGCACAACCGGGTAATACACAATAGTGCAATCATAGGCATTGATTTGGTTTCTCCATCGTCACTGTTAGAAATTGGCTCTTTTCAAGAAAAGGTGTATTTGAGAGGCCTAAGGTTAGTAAAGATCTTGGACATGTTTCTCCACAGAGAAATGTCATCTGGTTTCAAATGAAGAAGATAATTGTTAACTCTAAGTCATGAATAAGATGGTTCATTTCAAACGGTTCTAACAGTTGGGAAATATAAGTGATACTCCATCATGCTGCATCTACACATCCAAAGAAAACGCCATCGTGGATTTTGAAATGATCAATGTCATCAAAAGGTGTAAAACAAAGGTGAGGTGAGACAACAGTTCGATTGTTAGAAACTTTATTCATAATCAACATCACAACTAAACTAACTTTCCTCTGTTGACATGTGAAGAAAAACACCATAGCCAAAAAATCGCTAACAAACGACTGATAAAATCGACAAAACCAAAGATATCACGTATTTCACAACACTTTTGAAGATTTCAACATTCTTCCACTAAAACCTTTTTGGGAAAAAGAAAAGAATATTGTCTACTCAGATCATGTCTCCCAAGAAAAGTACCAATGTAATCAAAGTTAACAGTTGAGGAATTTGGTATAAAGTTGACTGTCAGTGTTTAGAAAATTTGCTCTCATTCCTAAGGTAGGTGAGCAATTTATCGGTAAGACCACTATGAATTCGACAAGCTACGAAAGAAAACTCGAGTTCTAAAAGTTGGTCGAGTAGATCATCAATTTGAAGTATGGCTTAATGGTTTTAATCGTCACCGATTGAGTTGCTAAAATCTAGGTACGATCCTAAGGTTTAGTCGTTCGCCTTCCCGGACAGGTTTAAGATTCCCTAAATAAAGTGTTTAGTTAGGTAAATTGCTGATTGGTAAGCTTTTGTAACTAAGTTTTCTCAATGATGTAGGAGTCATTTGAAAAGGCGCAAGGAAAACTATGTAGTACGAGAAAATGGATTAATGGTGTACTTCATTTCACAATTTGGTGATGTCACAAGTAAAATTTTGAGAAATGACGCCAGAGATATTTGTCCTCAAAACATACCATACTACTTCCTTTCTCTATGACACGTGTTATAATTCTACTGTTTGCATGTGGAAGTGATAAAAAAGGTGACTAGTCAAGAATGTTTTCGTTACCTAGATGGGTAAAATGGTTAACACAATTATGAGTTTACGGTTCTACTACAAAGGTTGCCCCTACTTTCTAGGATTTAAATTTTTTGGCCCAGGTAGTCACTGTTAATCAGTCTATCAGTCGCGCCACTAATTAATGCATTTAAGATATTTTGATATAGTTCGCTACCCTGAAACTGTAAACCAACGTTCTGACATAAAGCTATCACTCCCAAATACTAGTACATGTGTCCGTTATCATAAATCATACCGCCTGAATACTGGTTAGCAGTTCCTAAATACCAGACAGTATTGTCAATTAGTAGCGCCACCGTAGGCTGATTACAGGTTAGAGCTAGCTCGAGTAGATGGTTTTGGATGATTGGTAAAGAACTGGTCATGTGAGGTGGTTTCGTTGATTCTAGGAGAAATTGATTACTGCTTTTAGGATTTTTGCTACCCAAAAGTAAAACAACTCATACTCATAAGCCTACACTCATCAAAATAACGAGTACAACATCGAAAGGAAATCTGAGAATTAGTGTTGGTTGGAATGTCCTAAGGCCAGAAAAATGAATTTGCTAATAATCTACTTTAAAACAGACTTAAACAGAAGTTGATCTCGCTCCTGAAGATCTGGAATGATCACTAGTGCGTTTGAAAAGATCAGTGTTATCGGGGACTAAAAGTGATTATCCCCAGATGTTATTCCATCGAGTGCTACCATTTTAATACCAGGTTGTCATTCAAGATGTTTGTACCATACTTGACCAATCCCGAAACTACTGAGCACCGATCAACGTTATATCGTCAAGGACCCAGAAGAGTTTTCGCCCAACCAGGAGGCCAATCATAGCGTGATATGTGTTGACATCAGAAGCCAATCATAGTGTGACATGTGACAACATCAGAAGCCAATACAACACGACACGTGTCAATGTCAGAATGAAACTAGAAACTCTCTTCTATAAATAGAGATCATTCTCTCACAATATTTCTTAATGTCATTTGTACTAAATCATTCACTAGTACTCAACAAAGGAGAGAGCTTGAACCTATGTACTTGTGTAAACCCTTCACAATTAATGAGAACTCCTCTACTCCGTGGACATAGCCAATCTGGGTGAACCACGTACATCTATATGTTTGCTTCCCTGTTGTTCTATTATTTATTCTATATACTATCAATTTCCACATCTAGTGACTAGTCCGGGGCAATCTAGCAAAGGTCACAAACTTAACACTTTCTGTTGTGCCAAAGTCCTCACTGATTTTGTGCATCAACATTTGGTGCCGTCTGTGGGAACGACACTTATT